TTGTCCACTCCTGCGCCATGCCCACAATCGTTGTTACGTTTGAGCCCATTGTTGCAGCCACTGTGTCAATCCATCTCTTTGAGGGTCTTCCTCTTTTTCCCTGACCCTCTACTTTACCATGTGTGATGTCCTTCTCCAAAGACTGACCTCTCCTGACAACATATCCAAAGTATGTAAGACATAGTCTCACCATCCTTGCTTTAAGAAGCATTCTGGTTGTACTTCTTCTAAAACAGATTTGTTCGTTCTTTTGGCAGTCAACACAACAATTCTTTTCGCCAACACCACAATTCAAAGGCGTCAATTCTTCAGTCTTCCTTATTCATTGTCCAGCTTCTGGATGCACATGATGCAATTGAAAATACCATGGCTTGGGTCAGGCACATCTTAGTCTTCAAGATGACATCTTTCTTTTCAACACTTTAAAGAGGTCTTTTGCAGCAGATTTGTCCAATGCAATGGGCCCTTGGATTTCTTGACTGTTGCTTCCATGGGTGTTGATTATGGATCCAAGTAAAATGAAATCCTTGACAACTTCAATCTTTTCTCTCTTTATCATGATGTTGCTTACTGGTCCATTGGGAGGATTTTTGTTTTATGCTGAGGTGTAATCCATACTGAAAGCTGTGGTCTTTGATCTTCATCAGTAAGTGCTTCAGGTCCTTTTCACTTTCAGCAAGCAAGGTTGTGTCATCTGCATACCGCAGGTTGTTAATGAGTCTTCCTCCAATCCTGATGCCCCTTCTTCTTCATACAGTCCAGCTTCTCAGATTATTTGTTCAGCATACAGATCGAATAGGTATGATGAAAGGATACAGCCCTGACACACACCTTTCCTGACTTTAAACCATGCAGTATACACTTACTCTGTCTGAACAACTGCCTCTTGATCTATGTACAGTTTCCTCATGACCACAATTAAGTGTTCTGGAACTCCCATTCTTCACAATATTATCCATAATTTGTTATGATCCACACAGCTGAATGCTTTTGCATAGTCAGTAAAACACAGGTAGACATCTTTCTGGTATTATCTGCTTTCAGCCAAGATCCATCTGACATCAGCAATGATATCCCTCATTCCAGGTCCTCCTCTGAATCTGGCCTGAATTTCTGGCAGTTCCCTGTCGATATTACTGCTGTAGCCGCTTTTGAATGATCTTCAGCAAAATTTTACTTGTGTGTGATACTAATGATATTGTTTGATAATTTCTGCATTTGGTTGGATCACCTTCCTTGGGAATAGGCATAAATATAGATCTCTTCCAGTTGGTTGGCCAGGTAGCTGTCTTCCAAATTTCTTGGCATAGACGAGTGAGCACTTCCAGTGCTGCATCCGTTTGCTGAAACATCTCAGTTGGTATTCCGTCAGTTCCTGGAGCCTTGTTTTTTGCCAGTGCCTTCAGTGCAGCTTGAACTTCCTTCAGTACCATCGGTTCCTGATCATATGTTACCTCGAGAAACGGTTGTCAACCAGTTCTTTTTGGTATAATGAGTCTGTATTCCATCTTCTTTTGATGTTTCCTGTGTTATTTAATATTTTCCTCATAGAATCCTTCACTATTACAACCCGAGGCTTGAAGTTTTTCTTCAGTTCTTTCAGCTTGAGAAATGCCAAGTGTGTTCTTCCCTTTTGGTTTTCTATCTCCAGGTCTTTGCACATGTCATTATAATACTTTACTTTGTCTTCTCGAGCCATCCTTGGAAATCTTCTGTTCAGTTCTTTTACTGCATCATTTCTTCCTTTTGCTTTGGCTACCTGATGTTCAAGAGCAAGTTTCAGAGTCTCTTCTGACATCTATTTTGGTCTTTTCTTTCCTGTCTTTTTAAGGACCTCTTGCTTTCTTCATTCCACAGCTTGTCTGGTCTTCAGTCATTAGTGTTCAATGTGTCAAATCTATTCTTGAGATGGTCTCTAAATTCAGATGGGATATACTCAAGGTCATACTTTGGCTCTGTGGACTTGTTCTAATTTTCTTCAGTTTCACCTTGAACTTGCATATGAGCAACTGATGGTCTGTTCCACAGTCGGCCCCTGACCTTATTCTGACTGATGATATTAAGCTTTTCTGTCATCTCTTTCCACAGATGTAGCTGATGAGAACAGTAGTGATACTAAAAGATTGTGATTTTTTGATATTGCATAATATGTCAACATTTGCATGATGTGCATATTTTAATGAACAGTATTATTTTCCAAAAGACCAATATGCATGATGTTACAAAATCATGCATGCATAAAATCTCTTTAAAGTGCAAGATCAACCCATGGATTTGAATGCAACAGAATAGGAAAAGTTCATTGTTATAATATTCAGATTCTACACTTTGCAGCTAATCTTAACTGCCACTTGACAAGTTTTGGTATAGTATCAAGGAAAAATATCCACAATTAATCTGAAAAGCTATTAAAATACTACTCCCTTTTCCAGTTACATATCTACATGAAGCTGGATTTTCTCCATATACTTCAACCAAAACAATATATCACAATAAATGGAATGCAGAAGCAAATAAGACAATTCAGCTGTTTTCTACTAAGCTAGACATTAAATAAAGTGCAAAAATGTAAGACAAGGCCACTCTTTTCATTTATTTTTGGTTTTAGAAAATATAGTTATTTATCTTAATATTTTTAATACTAATATATTTTTTTAAAATCAATAATTTAAAAAAAAATCAATTTTTTTCAGTTTTAATTTTGAATACAGTAAATACTGATAGTGAAAACCCACATAAACAAAAGCTCTTTGAGGGGTACCAACAATTTTTAAGACTATAAAGGAATCCTGACACCAAAAAGTTTAAGGTAACCAGAAAAAACTGAAATCTGCCTGAAATACTGTCCTGCCGCATGGAAGGGAATACAAAAGATCAGGTTTGTAGGATGGCGACAGAAGACTAAGCTATTTTTCTGATGTACCCTACTGAGTCCAGGCTCTTCAATAAACCAGTTACGGATTTATATACCTCATAGGTAAATGCTGTACACACAGATTTATCCAAATTGACTTAACATTTATCTAGGTTGAATATTTAAATGACCCATGCTTTTGTATATATTACAATCGTCTCACAATCATGATATTGCACTTGACAGATGTGGGACAGATTCAGAGAAATTAAGGAATTTGCCTAAGCTGACTCAGCAATTCACCTGATAGAACCAAGACTTGAGCCTAGATCTTCTGATTCTTTGGCATGCTTGATCCAAAAAACCAGTGGCTCTAATCAGGAGTGTGCATCAGAATCACCTTGTTAAAAACACAGGTCTGGACACCAGAGATTCTGATTCAGTAGGTCTAGGGAGAGGCCTAAGAATCTGCACTTTTTACCAGCTCCCCAGGTGATTCAAACATGTAGCCCTGGCTTAAGAACCACTGCAGTACACCATGCAGCTCTCTCGATGTATGTGTAGTTCTGAGTATTACATTAGAGTGTATATTCACATGCATAAGGCCATACTGAGCTGAATATTAAGATCCATATTTCCTGGTGATGTGTTGAGCCAGAGGCTAGATCAGACGTCTTAGCCAACAGAAGAATTTGTATCTTTTGATTTTTAGGTTACACTGGCTTGTGAACATTAATACATTAGTTTTTGGGAAGTGGACATCTAAACAGGGAGCTTCATCAAAAACTTAACAGTGGTTCTTTCCCATTCACCATTCACACATTTTGAGAAGAGCTGGAAATAGAATTTCAAGTCCTCTGTGGGTTTTTGGAAGCCCATTAATGACGCAGTGGTTAAGAGCTACGGCTGCTAACCAAAAGATCGGCAGTTTGAAGCCACCAGCCACTCCTTGGAAACCCTGTGAGGCACTTCTGCTCTGTCCTGTAGGGTTGCTGTGAGTCAGAATCCACTCAATGGCAGCAGGTTTGTTTTTTTTGGGTAGCAGCTTTTGGCTCAGCTCCCTCATTTCAGGTCACTTGATCACGTGGCCTTAAAATAACCATTGTAGATAGAGGACTAGTTTGTCCCCACCCCCCCTTCTTTTCTGGACTACCTGTCCTACTTTTCTTCAATTCAGGTGCTCTCTTGTCAGGCTTGAAAGGTGCAGTTCATTTACTGGGTCCTCGCTGGCCATTCCCTCCCAACCAATCTAGGCATCATCAGCTATTTATCCTGCTGCAGCGGTACATTCTAGCCATAGAGACCGTCCAAAATTCAGTACTTGCAGCTACTTGCATGCCAGCACCTATTTGTTGGTTTTTCTCTGTCACACACATACACATTAATCCTTAGAGCCTATTCTCTGGAAGTAGGGACTTTTTTCAAATGGTATCTTGCTATCCACTGTTTTCTGGCCTTTTCTCCTATAAACTCCTCTTTACCCTGCCGTAGTCAAATTGAACTAAATATTGCTGTTCCCTTCATATAAAAATTCTATTTTCTCACCTCACTAATTTTGCTTCATTCTTTCAGAAGGTCCTTACCTATTTCACATTTCTGAATCCTTCAAAAACCAGCTCTAACATCACGTCCACAAAGCCCCCTCTTTTATATAGACTAAATCTTTCTCAACTCCTATAGCACTTAATGTGTACCTCTTTTAGAACTGCTTGTCACTTTTATCCAATGTGTGGACCTATTTATGTCTACATCTTCTTTCTACTGGATTGTGAACCACCCAAAGGCAAGGATGCATCTTACGTCTGTGTTCCCCATAAAGCACCATGGAAACAATAATGACCTAGTGAATGAATGGATAACTTTCCAGTTTTTGTAGGAGTTCAGGATCCAGCAGTTTGAGGATGAAAAGATACTTCCCAAGGCTCAATCCACCCACCCTGACCTGAGAGAGGCTTTGGTTAATGACAACATCACCAACCACATCAGTCAGTCCCTTGAAGGAAACAGGAGTCTACCCCAGGTAGGAGTGAACTGTTTCCTTTCAGGGAGGAGGAGTTTACTAATTGACAGAAATCAGCTGGAGAGTTAACTTTTTTCTTTTTTTTTTTAAAACCCAGGGGCTCATTCACCTAGAGAGGCAGCTCACCTGTGCAAAATATTCCTCAGAGATCCTCCCGGCCCATTCAATGCACAGGTCCAAGGGGCGGCATGGGTTGGCCACATCAGCACACTTAATCATCATGCGCTTGATCAGCATTTGGTTTTCAGGAAAGTTCTTCCCAACAGGGTTGCATTCACAGTCACTGCCTTCAATCTGAAAAAATAGACTGTCAGATCAGCGTTGATTCAAGATGATGGTGAAGCCTACTAGGGCTGCTGACCAAACAAATGGTGACTGCCCAGGCACACTTAGGTGTCATTGGGACTCAGAGCAATGGAGGACTTGTCCTTTCCTTAATTCTATGTATAATACACTGATATACACTTGTTATAAAAAAGCAGCAGCAATAACAACAAAAAAATCCTTCAAGTAAAAAAAAAAAAAAAAAAGATTTTAAAAGGCGAATGTCCCTATCACCACCTACCCACCCCTCACTTCCACCCTCTTCCCCAGAATAACTGCTACAACCAGTTTTTGAGCAGTTTGGTATGTAATCTTAAAGAAGGAGGGCTTTTCTCTCAGTTTTATCAGGAAATGTATAAAAGCAGGACTTTGTGTTTCTTTAATAAAGATGGGAGATTAGCACATACTACTTATTATGCCTGCCTGTTCCCTCTCGCCTACGACTTTATGTCCCACTCCTTGTAACTTGCCCAAGTGTCCATTTGTACATTTTCCTGGCTGTTCTTTGGACTGGGTGATGGGGAATGTGAGTCATGTAAGTTAAGGGCAGTAGGAGCAGAAGTGGGCCACAGCAGGACCAAGTGTGTTCAGCCATGTTTAAAAGGACTGGTCAAATACCGGTATGTATCTAGTGACAGATATCAGTGGTCCTGAGCCATGTGGCCAGATACGTAAGTAGGCTTAAATAAATGCAATATAATAGGCCAGTTATACAAAACCCTGAAAAACTGTTATTCTCTATTTTCAAAGACACCATCACATTGATTATGTGAAAAGTTAATTAGCTCTCCAGAGCTCTGCAAGCTGAAAGACTGCAAGACATTTAAGAGTTTTTGATTATTTTGTTTTGAGACTGAACCTATTTATTAGATTGTCAGTGGGCAGAATATGTTCTGAAGGTTTTGATTGCTTACTATTGGGAAAATACTGCCTACTGTAGATGCTGTGGCAAATAATAAATCTCAACACAAAGTTGGGGGCTTACTTGGTCATCCTAAGATGACCTTCCCAATTCTAAATTCTATGATTCTGCATATTTTTTAATTCCCCAGGTCCTTATTCCCGTAAGTCCTGTGTGGAATGAAAGTGTCCCAGCAATGTTTTGTGGAATCCCCGGGAGATGAGACTGAACACAGGTGAGATGGGCACTGTGCCTCCACCTAGGCTGCTCATGTGGTGGGTCCTACACAGATAGTCTTATTATTTGTCAAGTTATTTTTAAGACAATTCATCATCCATTCACTTATCAGCTCAACAGGAATGACCTTTATGGGACTATAAACAGCTTCATGGTTTCAGAAGACAGTTGATCTCATTTTAAACAATAGAGATGTGAACTTCCTTTCCCATATTCCTAAAACTCAAATTTTTAGGGACATTAAGGCAGGTTCAATGTATGTCGGTATTAAAAAGGAAAAAAGCAAGGGTGAGACAGTACACAATACAGGGGAAACTAACACAACCTGTACAAGGAAAGGTCATGGAGGCCCCATGGACACATCCAAACTCCCCGAGGGACTGAGTTGCTGGACGGAGGGCTCTGGGGACCATGATCTCGGGGAACATCTAGCTCAATTGGCATGACACTACTTATAAAGATAATGCTCTACATTCTACCTTGGTGAGTAGTGTCTGGGGTCTTAAAAGCCTGTGAGCGGCCATCTAAGATACTCCACTGGTCTCATCTCTTCGGGAGCAAGTGAGAATGAAGAGAACAGGATACAACGAAAAGATTAGTCCAAAGGACTAATTGTCCACAGCTACCAAGACCTTCACCGGACTGAGTCCAGTACAGCTAGATGGTGCCCGGCTACCACCGCTGACTGCTCTGACCAGGATCACAACAGAGGGTTCTAGACAGAGCTGGAGAAGGATGTAGAGCATAATTCTAACTCACAAAAAAAAAAAAGAAAAAAAAAGACCAGATTTACTGGCCTAAAGGAGACTGGAGAAACCCCGGGAGTATGGCCCCCAGACACCCTTTTAGCTCAGTGGTAAAGTTACCTTCGAGGTTCACTGATCAGCCTGCGAGTGGACAGCCCAGTAAAACCATGAGAGTAACGAGGTACAGGAGTCCAGTGACAAGGCCCAGAAGGCAGAAGGGGAGTAGGAAGCTGATGATAGGGAACACTAAGTAGAGTAAGGATATTGTTGATGTGTTGTGAGATTGTTAACCATTGTCATAGGGCAACATTTGTAGTAACTGTTAAATGGGAGACTATTTTGTCCTGTAAGCCTTCATCTTAAGTGAGATTAACAGCACAATTAGAAGAGCGTAGTCAATGTCACTTAAATGTGTATGTAAAAAAAATTTTTGAAATGGCGTATCTTTGGCTATGTGTATTTTCAAAAAAAAAAAAAAAAAAAAAGTTGAGAATTTAGAGGGTTAAAATGTTGTGGGGTTGTTAACCAATGTCATAAAACAGCATGTGTGTTACTGTTACATGAGAAACTATCTGTTCTGTAAGCCTTCACCTGAAGTACAATAAAATATTTAAAAAAAAAAAAAAAAGGAAAAAAGCAAACTTTCAAAGCTTTACTTCTGTGTGGCCATCACTTGAAATTACACTGACTTGGAATTCCCTGGATACCAATGGTCATGAAGACAGATCAAGACCTGGAAGCATTTTGCTCTGTTGTATATAATGTCACTATGAGTTGGAGCCAACTTCGTGGCCACTAATAAAAACAACAGAATGCCCTGAAAATGATAATATAGAAATCTGTGCAGTAAAATACAGATTTGGTGCTTTTGAATTCACAAACATGACCCAACAGATGGAGAGTATTTTTTATCCTGACAGGTATGAATCACTAAAATATTTAATCCAGCAGTTACAGAAAACAACTTATGCTTTTGATGTGAACTATTATTTTAATGTAAATCAGCAGTGATACTGTCTTTAAAACAATCTCAACTTTGAGGTATTCCAAGAGATCAAAGAACAGATAATTCTAAAAGGCTTGGGATCCCGTAAAAGCACCATTTCTGTCCTACTCTTTGTGTGTGCCTCTTTCCATCATTCTTGGGCCTAACTCCTTTTGTCACTATTAGCTTTATCTCTGGGCTTTTCTTCCCAGGAGCTCAGAGTTGCTGTAGATGCTGTCAACCTATTCTTGCTCCAAAGGAAAACAGGTGGCCAGTGCCTTCAGCCCTGCCACCCTTCTTTACCAACTCCAAGCAAATAACCACCTTGTATTGAAGAGGGAGAATTGAGGCCAGAGTGGACTCTCATGGAAGTATACTCTAATGTATCTTATTACATAGGAAATGCTTACCTCAGCAGCTATTGGTTTGTTGATACTATTCACAAATTTGTTCACATGTTCAAAATGTTTTGTCATCTCCGTTGCCAAGACCATGTCAATAATAGCCTGGCGCAGTGTTCGATAATGGTTCCTAAAAATAACCAGAAGACAAAGGGCCTTGTTCACATTATGTCCAGCATTAGAACTGTTCTGATAGCATTTTACCACACTTCCCATAACCTAGCAGGAAGGTGGGGGCACAGTGCTAAGAAATGAGTGTAAATCACAAGGCAAGGGAGGCTTACCTGCTTGTCTGCCCACTGAGCCAAGACTTGTAGACACTATTCCATTTTTTCCAGTGATAGTTGACCCTTCCTCATAGATTTATGGGTATTAAAAAAAATAAAGTGTCACATGGTGGGTGCTTATTTTACAAGGTGATTCCCTTCTCCATTCCCTTAGCAACATCAAAACAGGTAGAAAGAAATGAGAAACTCCTTCCCTACAAGGCTGGTACAGCAACTCAATGAGCTGCCCCATTGCATTCATTACAGATACAGTGGTTCCTATTGCAGAGAGCTGTCATGTTTTCTTTTGATAATGGCATCAGAAGAATGTTTTCCTATTAATAAGTAATTCTCTAGACTGCAACTAGATAGAAGCTGTAATGGATGAAGCAACAGCCTTGCCCAACATTACTGACCAGTTATTATCATCTAACTTTAAGAGCCAGAATTGGGAGCCGAATAAAATTGGCTGTTGGAAAAAATTCTTTCCAGAAAAGTTTTAAAACCAATCCTTGCATGATACTGATGAAGCTGCAATAACTGATCTTCCTATTTTCCAAGACTTCTGGATGCCAAACTGACAGGTTCATATTGACAGGTGGTCCCGAGGCCCTAGTAAGCTCTATCTTCTCTGTACACTGTACTCTCCGAGGAGTCTACTCATCTACCTGACTCGTTCTGTGTGGAAAACACCTATAGCCCGACTGCAGGGTTGCTATCAGGCAAGAGGAATTTCTCATATCTGTGAACTTCTGGCCAACTCTCACCCAGAAGGGACGGCAGCATCTGGGGGGAATACCTGCCTAACCCCTTGGGTTTCAGCAGCTCTGCTGGGACGTGTAGAACATGGTTTCCTCGTGAGGCAGGATTTAACTGGTCACAAATCGAATTGAGGAAAGATAAGGGAGGATACAACTTCTTTGAGTTACACAGAATTCAGGATGTCCTTCTGGGAGGATAAAAATATCTGCTGTACTTATTATTAATATAGTTAATATTTATATATTACTTTGCAGTATATAAAACATTTTCATGAACTCACTGAAGACCAAATGAGATTTAAAAAGACAAAAGCAGTTTGAAAAGTAAAACAAAATTTATAAGAGCAAGGTTATTTTATCCTGATGTACATGAGGTTGCTGTGAGTCGGAATGAACTCGCCAGCAGCTGGTATTATTTTATCATCTGATACAATGGTACAACTATTCTGTTTTCCTCGCTCTTCCCCTTTCCCCAAAGAAATAGCTAAGTAAGTACTCAGAGAAGCTAGGGGAAAAACTTCACTAACCTGAGCACAGGAGCCCAAGCATAACAAACCTGTCAATGTTCTTGAAAATGTTGCACTTGCTGTCCTTGACTGTGAGCTGGAAGGCCAGGGCTGTGTGGTGACTCTCCAAGACAGCTGTGTCATTATAGAGCACAGCGAGTTCACTGCCTGCATTGCACAGGAAGGAATTGGTCCTTCCCGGGTGATCCACGTCATGGACTGTGGCAGCAATCAGTGCTGCCACCTCATCCAGCTGATCCAGGCTTCCCTGGGGTAAGAGAGACGCAAAATTGAGCATTACTCACTGAGAGAAGCCTGAGACCGACATCCATCTCTGCCTCGTAGGAGGGGAGGGTCCAGGAGAATTGAGATTTGTCAGAATGTTGTCTTAGCTCACTGAGCCTTCTCTGGCTTCTTAAAAGTTGAGAGGCTACCTAGAACACATCACATAATGACCTTGCTGTGCTGTGGAATATCTGGAGGGAAATGGAAATCTGAGCTATAGCTACAATGAATACCTAAATTCTTACTCCACAGTTTGTACCAGTTATGCAGGAAGAAGCCAAACAGGTCTTTAGAATTGCCTCACATGTGGTATTGCCATGACTTTCTTCTATGTGCAGATATAGCAGAAGTGGCCTATGATGACAAATATTACTTATTTTATTCATCTACTGAAAAGATTTTGAGAGTGCTGACAATAAATGTCACAGATACAACAAAAGTGTTCACACAGACGTTAAAGGATTAGAGTCAAGCAGTTAAAAAGGATCAAGAAAGAATAATTTTATGAGGAAAACCTAGATTAAGGGTGCTCTTGCAGCTGACAGCAAAATTCAGCTCTGGGCTACCTGGCAGCAAGGGCAAAAAGGGAAACCAAATTTCTAAAGCTGCATGTAATAAAAGACACAAACCAGAGCATCAGGGGAGACAAATGTTTTCTTAGCCTACAAATTTAGAAGGAAGCTCTCAAATGGGCTATTACATAAGAAACACTTTATTCACTCATTTAGTATTTATTGAGTGCCTACTGGGTGCCAGTTATCATGCATCATGCTAAAGCTATAGTGATGAATAATAAAGGCATGTCTCTGCCTCAGTGGGAGTTTATATTCTAGAGGAGGAAGCACAAATAAGCTTAAAAAAAAAAAAAAAAAAAAACCCCAAACACAAATAGAAGGAAATTACTGTGAGAAGTGCTAAGAAAGAAAGTATAGATGCTTTGAGAGTATAATCATGGGGCCTGATCTAGTCTAGGACAGTGCTGTCCATGAAACTTTCTGTGATGATGGGAATGTTTTATATCTATGCTATCCATTACGGTAACCCCTAGTCACATGCAGGAGTCCCTGAGTGGTGCAAATGGTTAAGCCCTTGGCTACTAACTGAAAAGCTGCAGTTCGAATCCACCCAGCGGCACCTTGGAAGAAAGGCTTGGTGATCTACTTCTGAAAGGTCATAGCCACTGAAAACTCTATGCATGGTTCCACTCTGACACACATGGCATTGCCATGTATCTGAATTGTCTCAACAGCCAGTGGCAATTAACTAGTAAGCATGATACTACCGGCTTACAGTAAACAAAGTACAAAAGGGCTTATTGTGTTTACTTACTAATCTGTAGTGCATAATTTCACACGGGATGTGGTGAAACCCATGTGAAATTGTGCACTACAGATTAGTAAGTAAGCACAATTAAGCCAGTGCATACCTTGCTTATCAGGTAATCTGTCTTTGTTGACAACAACAGGTTTTGTTTTTGGTTTAGTCACATGTACCTACTGAACACTTGAAATGTGGCTAGTGCAACTGAGGAACTGAGTTTTTTAGATAAATTTCAGTTAAATTTAAATAGCCACAGATAGCTAATGGCTACCATATTGGACAACACAGGTCCGTGGGGGATCAGGCATGGTTTCTCTGAGGAAGTAATATTTATACTGAGGCCTGAAAGATACACAGGAATTAGCCGGGCAAAAAGTGGCAAGGGAAGAGAGGCGGGGCCAAGATGGTAGAGTAGTCAGATGCTTCCTGTGGTCCCTCTTACAACAAAGACCTGAAAAAAAACAAGCAAATCAATTATATATGACAATCTAGGAGCCCTGAGCATCAAAGGTGAAGTTGAGGAATCGGACTGAGCGGCACGGGGAGGGAAAGATGGTTCGGAGCAGCGAGGAGTTGCCAGACCTGACTTGGCAGGAGTCAGCACCCTTCAGGTTGGATTGGCTTACACGTCCAGTGAGGCTAACAGTGGTGCTCAGGAGGCGTTTTCCACATTGGGAGAGACCCAGCAGCAGAGTCTACTCAAGCATCGAGAACCAGTAAGAAGCAGCGCTCTATCAGCAAGAGATAAGTGCTTGCGTCTGGCCTACTGTGTGGATCAAAAAACACTCCCTTTGGGAGAAACCTCTCTCCCATTTACCTCTCCCCTCCCCACTCTGCACTGGGTCCCAGGCCAGCTTCAGCAATTTCCAAGTCCACTGGGCCAGAAGTAGGACCTGTAACGCGCCCTGAGCCATTCTCCTGGCCTTGGAGAGGGAACAAATTAACAAATGGAAAAAATAATCTGCCAGCTCCCCTAAGTAAGCAACTCAGGGTAGGAAAAGCTTCTTTGCCTAGGCACAGGCATAAGGGGTCCACAGACTTTAAATGCCTTTCACCCCTGCAAAAAGCTGCATGGGCCCATTTCAACAGCATAGGCCTTCATTACCACAGTACAACAGGGTATATACCTGAAGTCTAACTTCATCTGTTTCAGCTGTGAAGTGGCAGGTTTGTGACATTTGTCACTGCTCTGCCCATTAAGCAGGGTCCTCACCTCCTCACATCAGGGGCCTGAGGACTAGTGGCCCACCCATGCCACCTAGCCACCTGTGACAGGGGTCCAAGAATAAGTGGTGCCCACCAGTCCTTACAGCCAACAGCACTGGGTACTCATAGTCCGGCTAGAAAACCCACCCACCTATGCACTCTAGGGAACAGAGACGCGCGTTCCTCCCAGACACTCGGGCAGCTATCAGCCCCCTGCCTTGCTCAGCACTTGACCCCCTACTGCAGCCAAATACCTGTGCCTCCACCAATCACCCATGCCTGTCTAGGACTGTAGGTGAGAGCCTACACTACACACTTGGTGACCAACTACCTGGACAACAACAAAGGAAACAGACATCTTGGCTCACATACCTAGTAACAGCTCTAACCACCTGGTGACAGACCTTAGAGCTTCAAAGTCACCAACAATCAAACTAGCTCACACAAGCAGCCTATTTGGGCATAATAAAACAAGAAGCTAGGACACAGTAAGCAAACATAAATAAATATAATAACTTATTGATAGCTCAGAGACAACAGTCAATATCAAATCACATAAAGAGGGAGACCATGATGGCTTCAGCAAGCTCCCAAAACAAAGAATCAGGAAATCTTCCAGAGGAAGAGAACTTCTTGGAATTACCAGAGGTAGAATACAAAAGATTAATATACAGAACTCTTCAAGATATCAGGAAGGAGATCATGCAAAATACAGAACAATCTAAAGAACACACAGACAAAATAGAGGATCTTAAGAAGGTTATTCAAGAGCATAATGATTAATAGGCTGCAAGAATCCATAGACAGACCACAAACAAAAATCCAGAAGATTAACAGTAAATTTTCAGAATTAGACTACTCAGTAGAAAGTCATAGGAGCAGAATTGAGGCAATGGAAGTCAGGATTAGTGACACTGAAGATAAAGCACTTGATACCAACTTATCTGAGGAAAAATCAGATAAAAGAATTTAAAAAAATGAAGAAAACTTAAGAAGTATGTGGGACTCTACCAAGAGGAAGAACCTATGAGTGATTGGAGTACCAGAACAGGGGGAGATAACAGAAAATACAGAGAACTGCTGCAGATTTGTTGGCAGAAAACTTCCCTGATATCGTGAAAGATAAGAAGATATCTATCCAAGATGCTTATTGAACCCCACATAAGGTAGATCCCAAAAGAAAAGTCACCAGGACATATTATAATCAAACCTGCCAAAACCAAAGATAGAGAATTTTAAGAGCACCTAGGGATAAATGAAAAGTCATCCACAAAGGAGAGTCAATAAGAATAAGCTCGGACTACTCAGCAGAAACCATGCAGGCAAGAAGGCAATGGAATAACATACATAAAGCCTTGAAGGAAAAAAAACTGCCAGCCAAGAAGTATATATCTAGCAAAACTGTCTCTCAAATATGATGGCAAAATTAGGGCATTTCCAGATAAACAGAAGTTTAAGGAATTTGCAAAAACCAAACCAAAATGACAAGAAATACTAAAGAGAGTCCTCCAGTTAGAAAATCAATAACATCAGTAAAAACGCAAGACTAGAACACACGACAGAGCAACCAGGTATAAACTTAGAGAGGGAAGTTACAAAACTAAATCAAAGCTAAAACACTGAAAATAGGGAAACACAAGTCAATATGTAAAAGATGACAACATTAAAACAAAAAAGAGGGACTAAAAAATGTACTCATAGATTTTTCACATGGAGAGGAAGTCAAGGCGATATAAAGAAATAAAAGAGTTATTTAAACTTAGAAAAATAGGGGTAAATATTAAGGTAACCGCAAAGGAAAATAACAATCCTACATACCAAAATAAAAAACAAGAAAAATATAAAGACTCAGCAAATACAAAATCAACAACAATGAAAAAGATTAAAGGAAAATACATAAAGAAAAATGACTCAGCACAGAAAACTGAGTAGAATAAAGAAACTGTGAACAACACACAAAAAAAGACATCAAAATGATAGCACTAAACTCATACCTAACAATAATTACACTGAATGTAAATGGACTAAATGTACCCATAAAGAGACACAGTAGCAGAATGGATTAAAAAAACACGATCTTCCATATGCTGCCTACAAGAGACACGCCTTAGACTTAAAGACACAAACAAACAAAGGATGGAAAAAAATAAACACTCAAAAAAGAGCAGGAGTGGCAATATTAATCTCTGACAAAACAGACTTTAAAGTAAAATCCACCACAAAGGATAAGGAAGGACACTATATAATGATTAAAGGGTCAATACACGAGGAGCACATGACCATAATAAACATTTACGCACCCAACGCCAGGGCTCCAAAATACATAAAACAAACTCTAACAGCATTGAAAAGAGATAGACTGCTCCACAATAACAGTAGGAGACTTCAACACACCACTTTCGGTGAAAGGCAGAACATCCAGAAAGAAGCTCAGTAAAGACATGGAAGATCTAAATG